ATATATCCCTTGGTTACTTGAACACGCTACAATGTTATTAACCAGTGTCATACTTAGGGCAGAAGTAGACGCCTTAAACGTCCCAGAAATTGGACGTTTTAAAAATCGCTGCATATCCATTACTGCTAATTATTGTAATACAATAGCTGAATCACTTGTATGCAAAAAAAAGCGAGGGAACTCGTGTCCTTAACCTCATACGTAACGTCACACACACACACGTCACAACATGCGACTGCTCAAAAATTTAATTATTTCAAACAAAACATGATATTATTCAGATTTGTATTGTAACAATCATTATATTACATCTATTAAAATATTGATATACGAAATATTTGTATTGGAACAGTTTTGGACGTAGTAATGCTGTAACATATTTCAGCCACTAGGGGGGCAATGCCCCCCGCAAAATCCGCCTATGCGCAAGGATTATTGGATCAAGGATTATTAGATCAAGGATTATTAGATCAAGGATTATTACTGTATTAGTATGGAGCTCAAAGGCTTTCTCTCTTGCCGGTTATACCACAAGGTGAGTTCCTTTTTATATCCTGCTTCTTACACATGCTCTCTCCAGTACAGTTTAGCTCTGAGTGTTAGCGATGTAAACATGTAAACAAAGACTATTATGTCCAAAACACGTCGGGAATTGTTTCTGATACAGCGACGTTTCTGATAGAGCCGTGGGTTCACCATCCGATATGACATAATGTACATCATATCGGATGGCAAATTTAGATCAGCTCCCGTTTTTAGAGATTTGCACACAGAGGAAAAGAGGGTTTTATTTTCTGGCGCTGCCTGACTTCCCTGGCCTGGACCCTGACACACCGGGAACACATATTTATGTATAAAAGACATTAAAAAATGGCATTTTGCATGATAGGTCCCCTTTAACATCAAAGGCCATTCCTTTTTCCATTACATTTTCAACATATAATGCTATGACTTTATTTCATGATATTTTTAACATATTATACAGCAAGGTGGGAGCAATTTGGGATGGCCCTAGATGGCCAAGGATTCCTCAGGAAGCCCTGGAGGTTAATCGTAGCATCCTGTTATCAGGATGTTCAATCTTCCTCAGAAACGCTGTGACTGAAGCCATATCTGCTTCAGGTTTTGGACCATCCACAATTTTGACTCTTTGTATGTTTTTTTTTACAGTGATGATAAAAAAGAGTATCCCGCAATAACATGTGATTTGAGTGCTCTAGAAAATGATCTCCGTCTGCTCCCTGAAGCTGTATAAATGTCCCAGATATGGCTTCTCTCTCTCTTAAAACATTTAACACACAGACGTTCCAGCCTTCTGCTGGGGAAACTATGCCAGATTGTGATGGTAATTTCGTGCTATCTGTCTGTCATAGCTTTATCTGGTCCGACACGTTGCTCTCGGAAATACTATCCATGTTCCTTTGCTCTTTCTTCCACTCGATAAATAAATATGCTCTTGTTTTTTGCTTGTGATCAAAAGATTCAAATAAAGTAGGAAAAAAAGCATTTTTCTGGTACATTTTTAGATGCACTGACTTGACAATTGGTTCTCTCCATGCCACAATGCTGCTTCCCTGGACATCTTCAAGTCTTCATTAAAAACTCACCTGTTCACCATGTCCTTTGACCCCTAACCTATCACAGTCCCCCTGCTTCCACTCCCCCAGCTATTTGTTTAATTTTTACTTTATTATTTGCCCTTCTTTTTTGTTTGTTTGTTGACAAAGTGGCCTTGTGTCCCAAATTGAATCTATTATTATTATTATTACCGACATATGGATGAACCCTTGACCTGTGTTTTAGCTCCACCAGCAGGTCAACATTTTTAAAATATCCAGTAGGGTATACTGGTTCCCAGAAAATGTCTCCTAATGACTAAAGTGCCACTTTGATGTTGAGATTTTGAGTAGGCTATAATATATCTCAAAAACGTTTGAGTGAATTGCCATTACATGTCGGCAAAAACAACCACGGATTAATTTTTCATTTTTTCTTTCTTTGTCGACCAGAACTAACTGCTATTGTTCAGTTGTTGCTTATGAAAGTGAGCTAATGTTAGCACCTGCTATGCTAAATTCAGCATATTACTATCTTCATTGTTAGCATGTTAGCATCCACAGCACTGGGCCTAAATACTATCTTGCAGAGCTGTTAATGTAGCTGTTGAATTCCATACTTATGGATTTAAATTAGGGATGCTCCAATCGATCGGCCGTCGATCGATATTGGCCGATACTCACTCTCTGCCGATCGATCAGTGCTCTCTAAAGGCCCTGACGCACCAAGCAGTCACCAGAGGACTCGCCAACGCAGACGTCGGCTGTTGCGTCGCGGTGTTCTCCTGCGTCTTGGCCATGTGTCGCACAGGAACACACCGCAAAGACTTCAGTGCATGAGTGGCAATAACTCTCCTTACCAGCAGGTGGCGGTAGTGTGTATTCGTCATTAAAAATAGGCAACAACCGGAAGACAGAGAAGAAGAACAGACTGCGTGATATATAAACAACAACAAATAGCGTGTGCAAACTGCAGCCTGGTTATGATCCACTGCTGTCTGCCCGTCTTTGGTGCTCCACAACTACCCGAAGGGGCAAGTTTCCTGTACCGGGTGTACTGGGTTCGCAGAGAATCCCACTTCTTCCTCAGCTCTTTCTCTGAAGCACACAAATAAACGACGTAAGCATTGTGGCTAGTTAGCATGTCCAATTCATATCTATATGCAGTGCCAAACTGCACAGCTAGCAACAGCTAGCAACAAGATAACAACAAAACACAAGGTTGAAATAACAAATTAAATTTCACGTTAACGTCACTGTACGCTGGCAAACAATAAAAAGCCAACAGTATCTGCTAAAGAGCTCAATTGATGAAAAAGATAATCTTACCCGAGGAACCAAATTGCATTTCAATCTCTCGCCAGAGTCCGGTTTTCACTACTCGGTTCGAGTACCTTTTCTCAGTGATATCGTACAGAGCTGGCCTCTCCTGGATCAATGTGATGAGCAGGTCTTCGTTTGCGTCATTCCAGATCGATGAAAATGAATATCAGTCTGTGTGTGCCTTCTTAAATCGTTTGTTTACGTCCCTCACTTCCGTTTCGCTTCTCATGCACTGATTCGCTAGCTGAACAGCCAATCAGAGTGATTGTTTGGTCCGACTGCCAGACCCGATGCATGCATCGGGACAGGCAGTCCAAATAAGGCGTGTCACGGTCGACGGTGCGGGACACACCAAATTGAGTTTGGGCGACAGGACAGGACAGGACTTCGTCTCCCGACTTACGAAAACAGCCGAAATCGGCCTGGTGTGTCAGGGCCTTAAAAATTACGATCGCGAGAGTCGATCGCATAACGTAAAATACATGACACTTTTCTCTGTGCAAGCCAAAACAAGCTCGCCAACCAGTCTGGCAGTATTGTCCGAAAATGACAATAAAATAGCGGTATGCAACTTGATTGAGCAGAAGTCCTGCAGCTCCACCCGCTGTGACGTACCGGTGAGCGGAGCAGAGCACACTTAAGAGTTAGACCTAACACACTTAGCTATTTTATCTACCTCTGGAACCAGCTAAACTAGTTATACATATATTTATTCTTCACTGTCGGGTCACTCATTACTGGATCAGTGAGCTGCATGAGATACTGACGGGCTGTCAGGAGAGAGAGAGAATGGGAGAGAGGAGAGAAATGAGCTTCCGCTAATTTCTCCCGTGTTATTATCCAAAGTTAATCTAAACTTGAATAATGTACTTCATTTGAATGTAATTATTATGTTGGTTGTTGTTTGTGGAAGCGCCAGTGAATGAGCCCCATTAACTGAGTTTTAAACATCACTTTAAATGGAAGATCCCCATAGGCCCCGCCCACTCGATCGGATCGGCGATCGGTATCGGCCGATATTGATTCCGGCGATCGGCCCCAAAATTGGCGATCTGAGCATCCCTAATTTAAATGTTATGTATTCACAAAAGCCTAAAGCATTAGGAATAGGATTTAAAGACACACAAGTTTATTCATTGATTTCCTCAGGATTTATTGTGATAAAACTTTCCTTAGCCATTAAACACAAACATACAATGTTGTCATTTAGGATGCAAATGCTAATTCTGGCACAATATAATGGCGCATTTCCATTGCAGGGCCTCGCTCGGCTTAGTACGGTATAGTTAGGCCTTGTTAGGACTGGCTCACTTTATGCTGCGTTTCCATTACAGTTTAGTAGCTGGGGCAGTAACCGTGACGTCATCTTCAATGTGAACCACAGAAAAACAACATCAGCTGTTAGCTGATAGCACTCAAATCATGTCATGGCGAATACATTCGCTGGTTTATAATGTCTGTAGGCCGTTGTTGTGAGTGTGGACGGTCGGAGCATATACAACGTTAGCTTAGCCGATCTCCATTCAGAAAACACGCATTTAAAAAGATGTTTCGCCTGCCGTCTGTCTGCAGACTTGTCAAAGCATCAATTCATGGTATTTACTAACCGGTATCAGTATGTTGTTACTTCGGAAACATTTTGAAACGTGTATTACAATTAGATCATGGTCAAATATGTTCATTTTGTTGTAGTTGTAGCCCCCTTGCCAGCGATTCTCTCTCTAGTTTAGCATACTCAGCCCGACTCAGCCTGGTTGTTGGCCCGCAAAGAACCTCGATTTTATGGGGCCAGAAAAACTGTGAAATAGTACCCGCTAGCCGGTACTACGCCAAGTGGAAACGCAACCAAAAACGGGCCGTGCACGGCACGCTTAAACCGCGCTCCGCACTGTAGTGGAAATGCGCCATAACTTGTCTGATATGACTCTAAAAATATATATTTTACATTTTGTTGTTTAACAGAAGTAAAGTGGATATTCATTATCTTCTGGTCCTTTTCCTATTATTCTTGCTATAAGCCGTAGACAAACCCAGAATCATGAGGTTTTTCCAAACATGTTTTTTTACATAGGGTATCCTTTCATCAGAGTGGCAGATTAAATGTCACACTTATTTCCCAGCTGACTGTATACAGAAAATACTTTATATATTGCATTTTAAAACATTACCGATATATTTTTTAACACAGACAATCATGCAAGTTGTGACTGAACTAGCACATGTGTGATCAGGAATATAAATCCTAGTTAATAAGTCTTCACTTGAATATGATTATTGTCTAATTAAGAGACTAAAGTTAAAGTGAACCTCACAAAAAATACAAGCTTTTTGAAATACACTACATTTTTTACACAATTGTACAATGTTATCACAAACTGGAGTGACATGTCAGTCAGTCCCAGGTCTGCCTGTGACACAGTGACAATATTCCTTCAAGACTTTAGTGCAGGGGTGTCCAAACTACGGCCCAGGGGCCAAATGTGGCCTGCGGACCCTTTTGAATCGGCCCCCAGCAAATTCAAAAAGTATAATGGAATATGGCCCACAAATGAAACTTGTGCTTGTCTTCCGTCTACTTTTTAAATATAAATGTAAACATATATTACACAGTAGTAATCATGTGTTAATAAGACCACTTTTCAAATAAATTCAGTCAATTAAAGTTGTAAACATTTTCTAACATCTTAGTTGATAAGAAAAAAGCCCAATGACTTATTTACATAACAAGCTTGAAATACACCCTTCTTATTTCTCCTTATTATAATCAATCTGAGGCTTCTGTTTTACGGGATGAGCTGCCAACACTCACAAGCAAAATGTACCTACATTTGATTGATTGCTAACTTATAACTGAACTTATGAGGCAATATAACTCTAGTGAGTGGCCAGGCCCTTTGTATATTTTTCTGTATGTGGCCCTCGGTGAAAACAGTTTAGACACCCCTGCTTTAGTGGTTTCATCCCCGTTAATATTGTCACCATATTGAAAATGGTCACTAACAAGAGTAGGAGAAGAGCGGATACTGGCTCCAATCCCCAGCCTGGCTGTGGTGGTGAGGATAATGGTAGTAGCCATGTTGTTGGGAGATGTGTTCAGCTGTGGAGAGTGGATGATGTGGAGGGTGGAGGAGAGAGTGGGCTGCATCTACTTCATTGGAATGCAGCGGATATCTGGCGTACTCTAGAGATCTACAGGGATGAAAGAGTGATATGGAGGTTACATGTCATGGATCGCCAGTTTGCATTTTATTTTTCTCTACTATCGGATTTGATCTCATCTTGAGAATCCTAAATCGTACCTGTAGGGCTGGTATGGCACGGATGCAGGCACCATCTGTTCTTCACAGCTGTAGTCGTACTCCTGCGGCTCCAGGGGCTCGGTGTGGACACTCTCCTGCTCCGATGAACAGGCTGAAAGGTCGTGCTCCTTCAAGGGCTGCTCATCCTTCCCCACCTTCACTGACTGAGAGGTGGAGGGCATCCTCTGCAGGCCTGCGAGGGAAATACAATGATCAATAAGACTGGCACGTTGATTTATAGGAATTTTTTATTTGATTTGATTAGATTTATTTTGAAAGTGTGAAACAATAATACAAAAATGTAACATGAGAATTATTATACAGTACAAAATGAATCAGTGTCAAATTGATATACATAAATATTACTGACTCTAAATTATGTATAAACAAATAATCTACTTATGTATAAACAAATAATCTACTTAATTACAGATCCGAAAAGGGGAAAAAGTTTACATTTATTTAATCCCACCCCTTCTCCCAAAAACGAAATTACTAACATATATATTTATTTTTTTCATTTTATTTTTTTTCTTCTTAAAGAAATACATTTGTTATTGAAAAAAAACATAAAACAACAAATAAATAAACAGATAAATAAACAAATAAATAAATAAGAAGATAAATAAACAAACAAATAAGCATATAAATAAACAAACAAATACATAACAGAGGATATTCAAGAAAAGATAAAATAACAAACCAAATAAATAAATAAACTGCAAACACTCAGTTATGATTAAATAACGTCATCCCTGTATCTTGTTAAAATCGTGTCCTTATACCTTTTTTAAAAACAGTTTTAAGTTCGGACATCCCTTGAGCTCCTCATTTAAAGGAATACTTCTCCTTCCTAGGAATTCCATCTGTTGCTGTTTGAGAAACACTAAATCATATAAAAAAACAGAAAGGCTTGCCTGGAGGACTGGTGCAAAGATCTTCCCTCTCCAGTCGGGCTCTTTTCACAGGAGAGCTTCTGTTAGAACGACACCTGAAGAAAAATATAACAATTATTTTTTCACTATTCTGACTATTCTGATTATATGTGTTTATATTGGAATTCTACTCTAATGAAAGAACATCTCTTTTAATTCAAATCTATATGTATATAATGTAAGACAAAAACAGGAATATGTATAGGCACGTTTATTTATTCTTACCTTTTGCTGTGGGAATGAGTGCCTCCCTCCCTAAATCCCTTAGCGAATGGGTTGTGGTCGATCTTCAATTTGGTGATCTTTAAAAGGCAAGAAGAGATAGTTGTCAAACTGTTTGGGGGCTCAGATCCTTACAATAAGTGCAAAAAAACATGAAGAATCAAACTCCGAACAACAAGGAAAGTGCATATATATTCACTTCAAGAAAGATCATACCATAGTAAGTGCTGAAGAAGTAAGAAGGCCTAAATTAACTCAACAAGTGGTTTGTTTTTTGCTTCATCACTCTTAAAGGTCACCTATTTTGCAAAATCCACTTTTTCATGTCTTTTATGCATAAACATGTGTCCCCTCTGTGTAAAGAGAATCTGAAAGTTTCAGGAAAAAATATTTGCTCACTTTTTGGCCTGATCCATTTATATAAAAACCTGTCTGAAAATGAGCTGATCAGATTTTAGCCACTTTATGATGTCATAACGTTTTGTTGGCTTGTTTAACCTCTTAAGCCCGATTGCCAACAATATTGCACGAAACTGTGTCTCAGGACTTCTTAACATTTAACAACCTATTAATGTGTCATACCCACTTAACGGGAAGAAACTCAGCTATCAGAAAATATTAACCATGTTTAGCTAAACGAAACACAAGGGTAATACCAAGCCTCTGAATTAGCACTAAACGAAGAAATGCTAACGCACTTAGCACATAACTCACGGTAGAGATATGTTATACTTCATGCTATCTGTACAAAGTAAATATCATATGAAAGCTGAGATTCCACAGATTCCATTGGTATAAGTTTCATAACTGACCAAAACTCACGGCAGCGAAGGCCAGGAAAGACAACACACAACTTCACTTTACGGGGGCCAAAACGGCAAATACGTCTTACCTTTGCTGTTTTCTGATCAAAATTACTGATAATCCATCATAACATTTATGGCAATAAACTTATTTTTCATTATACTTTAACAGAGCTTTCGGTTTTGGGCAAACTGCGTGCGCATCACTCTCACTCCTCAATGGTAATGTTTAGATTGATTTAGGAACACTACAGAGACATGTTTTGTATATATCTGAGATGAAAAAGAGTATAATAGGAGACCTTTAATGTGTTGTTAAACTGCTGCATACCTTTGGGTTTTGGTAAGCGGTCACTGTAGTGAAGGTGGTCTCTGGGAAGGAGAAGGTCTGGAAGGGGCCCCAGCGGACGGTGTAAGGACTGTCTGCCTGGGTGATGTGAAACCTGGGGTAGTAGCGATGCATAGAGTGCACAATGATCTGATGGGTAGAAGAGCAGAGTGAGTACAAAGCACATTCGGTATGTTTAGTCAACATAGCATGTGTGTAAGGGGGTCTTACATGGCCGTGCTGGTCCAAGGTGTTGTTGGTGAGCTTCATCCTGAGAAAAGACAATGGCTGCTTCATCCAGTGACTTCCTGGGGCAGGGGAGTCTGGATGCATGTATGTCCGACACGGGGGCTGGGGCTCTGACTTCCCCGCCACCTCCCACTGCTCCTTTTTCCACTACAGAGAAATGGGGGATGGATGAAAGGTTAGATGTAAGACATGAGGTTTAATCCAAAGTCTTCATGAAGCAAGAAATACTTTATTTATTCAACAAGCGAAAAATAAAGCTGAGGTATTAACAAATGTTTAGTCTATACATCTTATAGATAGATAGATAGATAGATAGATATAGATACTTTATTGATCCCAATTTGGGAAAGGTTTGTGTTGCAGCAGCATAAAAACACAATGCAATGTCTTAAGATAAATCAAGACACAGAAATAAACAGTCCAATATATTTCAGAAATATAAATACAATAGCATTAAAGTTTTCTGATCATGTATGGAAACTCATAAATAAATCTCTGTTTAATAATTTCATAGCACCTTAAAAAACGTATCCCTATCTCTACTACATTACTTTCCCTTCTTTTTTACAAGTGTGTGCTAAAAGCAATATCTGTGACCAAATGGGCCATAGCAGTTAGTGGCTCCTCATTCACAACAGTGAATAGAAAGGGATGCTAATTGATTGGGCCTCCAGCCGTGAATGCACAAACAGGAAGCAATGAAAGGCTTTGAAATGCAGCGGTGAACGGCCCACAGTGGGCAGGCCGCAGACTGCTGCGTTTTACATACTGCTGCTTTGAATCCCCAAATGTTGTGCCTACAGTACTCAAGTGTGTGTTACATATGCATGTACCCTGTATTTGAAGCTGTCTGCAGGAACCATATCTATCATGACGACGTAATTTGCAAAAGGTTGGAGCCCTGAGAGTCTGATGCTGCAGTATGGAAACATTCTCCTGAAAATAAGAAGAAAGTGAATTGAAATGTTTTTATAAAAGCAGGAAATGGCTCTGAATCTCAGTTTTGGTGGTCTTTGTGATAATTAATGTATAGCAGTGCTGCAGGACTTCAGTGGGTAGCGTTGTTACCTTCCATGCTTTGTTATTATCATCTCTGTCCCGCTGCTGTGGAAGGACTTCCAGAGATCAGCGCTCTCCAGGGTCATCCTGATGCAGCCCTGCTGGTATGAGTCAGCTGTCTGAGGGGAGCGGGGCATGCTCAGATGCAGTTTGGAGTCTGTGGAGAAAATACACATTCTGCTAAATCAAATGTATTCATGGTAACTGTGACTGGCTTATAGCAGTTTATAGGAGTATTAAAAACAGGAAAAATATATTCAGCAGGACTTGAGACAACTCAGCATAACTCAGCACAGTTTTTCACTTTAAATCTCAATTTCTATTCGAATCAGTAAACATTTGAATGAAGGTGTTAGTTTCCTGTTGGTTAAAACCCAGACAAAGCTAATTCAACAACTAATTGATGAGGCATGGTCCAATGCATCTTGCATTTGGCAGAATCAGAATATACCAGAGAGAGAGAGAGAGAGAGAGAGAGAGAGAGAGAGAGAGAGAGAGAGAGAGAGAGAGAGAGAGAGAGAGAGAGAGAGAGAGAGAGAGAGAGAGAGAGAGAGAGAGAGAGAGAGAGAACATGATTACTCCCAAAGAAGGGAAATGTACGTTGTTACAGCAGAAAAAGTGCCAAAGACAGCTTAATGTGACATATGTTACATGCATAAAAAAGTATTAAAGTAAAAAAAAAAAAATATATATAATAAGAAATAGAATACAATTAAAAAGTTACACAATTTACAAAAATACACACCCTGTAACAGTTCTGAGGATTTAGCAGCCAGGTATATATTGCACAGTTATTAACGGAATATATATATATATTGCACAAATAGCACACATTGATTAAGATCACCATCACTTACCAGAGATGTGTTGCATGGTACTGTGTCCTCCTAATATCAACAGCAACAGAAGTCCTGAGAGAGTCCTGAGTGCTGCTTTCAGATGTTCTGACACTGGAGGTAAACACACCCGGGGTCTCTATCTTTGCAAGCTCTGAGCCTTGAACTTAATTGGTCATCACAGAAAAGGGTGGGGTCTAAAGAGCAGGGGGTGAAGAGAGGGCAGGTAAGATATATCATTTCCTGTTGCCAATAATAAAACCCATTTGCCCTACCATGTTATAGATATATACTCTATTGATCCCAATTATTTCGTAACAGAAGCAGCCGTGTGTTCAGACCAATACAAATACCTACAAAGTGGAATAGAGAATTAACAATTAAAAATCAAATGTACATGAAAAATATTGTATCAGATACAAACAATATAAAATATTCTGGATAATTGACTGACAAAATAGGCGTGAAATATATTGGTTTTAAAGAAAATATTTAGAAAAGTACAGAAATATAATCACTTAAATGGGATAAAAAGCTGATTTCCAGGGTAACAAACAACAATTTCTTCTATGATTTTGTACCCAAAGACATCATAATCTACTTTGGGATGATCTAGCCATGTTCCCATATGTCCTAGGCCTGAATGCATACAATATTCTCTCTCATTGGCTCACAGCTGAAGGACAGTGAGCTGAATTTCAAAGTGCCCGGGGGGGTGGAAGAGCAGACAAACAAGTCCCTTCCTGGCAGCTCTGGTTGTGTATTGCAAACAAATCGTAAGATTACAGAGGTGATGGGACCTGTGGCCTTGACAATGCTGCTAATCCTATGAGGCCATTTGGCCCGGCCCCCCCACCCCCTACGGCCTCCAGTAGTCTGGGAGGAGAGGGTCTCTGAAGGTGCCAGCAGTTAGCAGCCCGTTAACATGAAAGACTGACGGGAGGAAGGGAAGAGCAGCAGTGTGGGACTTGAGAGGACAATGTTCAGAGTTTACAGCCCAATTAATTAAATCCTACATGAGTTACATCGGGGGGCATTTCTTCTTTGTTTAAATTCTAGTGAAGTCTCAAAGACAACTGAATATTCCAGGCTGGTTTTGGGGGGAAATGTGAATATAAGATTATCAAAGCATCCTGAATAGTTCCATTTGGTGAAAGGTTCATACATATAAAATATGGATCCTAAGGGTCTTGAACGTAAGGACGTTTGAACAAGCTAATGTAGAATATATGACACTGTCTGACAGAGGAGGATTTCTGCAACCTCAAAGCTTCTCCAGAAAAAAGGAACAAAAACTAGATAAGGGGTTAAACTCTGCCTATTTTAAGTATCTGTAAAAAGACTATCATTGTTTACCATACTTCTAGAGATGAAGAACATACTAAACAAAATGTCAAAGGTTAACTCATGGTTTAACTTTAGTGTTGCTAGTAGCATGCATCAACAATGGTACCTTAGTTTAGATATTATTAGATTTGTTTGACCTTAAGGACTCCTTTAAGAACTCAGAGAGCTCATAGTTGGGAAAGCAATCCAGACCAGCGATGACAAAATAGTGCCTCTATGGTGTAAAAAAAGTAGCGTTAATACCAACTGGACTGCATCATCATATGATTTACCTGATGACCGCCCCTGACTTTTCAACACTCTCTAGAACGAGTGTCTTGATGCCTTTGTGAGGCCTTTCTGCTCTGACTGTGGGCATGTTTGAACATTTCTCCTGTTCTTAAATCAACTTCAGGCCTGCAGATGGAATTCAGTGTTCCTGCCTGTGGTGTGTGTCACCTCTGCAGCTCTGCTACAAAGTCAAGTTGGTGTATAGAGGAGGATATCACTAACATCTGCTTCTTCTAATAGTGGTTCAGCATGATTTGGCACTGCTGTAATGGGAATGCAAATGAAGTACAGTCAACATTTTTCATTGGATTTGTGTTACTTCACTGTTTGTAAACTGCACATCACAAGATATGTGTTGGAAGTAGTATTTCCCTTGCATTGCATTTGTTGTGTGCCTGGTTTCTGTGCTGCAGTAAAAATAACTCATAGCACAGGAAATGGTGGTGGTTTCGACAGTTTCGAAAAGTTAGAGTAAGCTGCAGCTGGAAGACGCAGTGCATGGCCTCGGTGGCGGCAGTTCAGAGGCATGAGGGGGAAGATGAATGGCTGGATGGGTGAGGTGAATTATCTGAGGTACACCCCAAAGAAAGTCTTCTGAAACCCAGGAGAAGAGTTGTGTGTTTGTGTGTGGAGGCCAAATCCATTACATCTTCATCTGTGTCAGATTGAGATACAACACGAAGATATCCTTGTGAATCTGCTTTGTAACATTTAAAGCAAAGTTTAATTTATTTAACACAATCGTATCCCTAAAATTGGATCCAGAAGTCATGCCAGGACATACTAGCCTTTGCTTTTATGTATTCTTCTTTCTGTGTCTCTCCAATCCCTCATATGTGTAAACCTTCTTGGTAATACAACTGATTCTGATAAAGCACCACAATTCTATTTTTCTATCAACTTTTGAATGAAGAAGACATTTCCAGAAACTAAATTAAAGTTGAACTGGAGCTCTTATTTGCTAATACTGCCACCTACTGGAAATGTCCTTATAAACTCTGAATGAGAGCTAATAATCCATCTACTTATACATTATACATATACACTATTGCCTTGTATTTGGGAACTTTGATTGGTAATGCCCACAATGCAAATGAGATTAATAGAAAAATACCAATGCATTTTTCTAATAACCCAGACGAACGAGGCAAAGTTAACAAGGTTTTAGCAAATTTGTGATGAATAGACTTCTATGAATAATGAGTAATAAATACACACATACTATTTAAAATAAACTTATGTATAAACTATAGTAAGATAAGATGATAGAAAACATTATAATGATGCAAAACATTTAGAAAAACAACTTTTCCTCCCATATGTATACTTAATCTTGAATACATTCACACGTATTGCCGGGGGATTGAGAAATGCCTGTAGGAAATCAGCAGTTTCTGCACACTGTAATTCCCCGGTGTGCTGAGCACGCTGTCACATGCAGTTGGGAAAATTAACTTTTCTGCACCTAATATAATAATGAAAAGAACTCTCTCTGAAGGGCCTTTAACAACACATAATGCTCTTTAACTGGAGCAAACATGTTAGGAGGAATGCAGTTACCAAAGACATTCTGAATTATTGCAAAGAATGAAGACGTTTATGTCTATCAGTTTCTACCCTGCACTTTCATTATTGGATTGTAGAGAGGTGTTTTGGCAGAGGCTTAGGAAAACATGAAGGTTGAAAATTAATCTATTCATTCTCACTTTGGTGGTAAAATATCATGTTTGTGGTTTAGATTGACCTGAAGACAAGTAATATGTCTACACAGGAATTCACTGAACATGTTTAAGTTTAATGTATTACTTTTTGTGGGATCCCTTGTGAGGCTGCTGACGCCTTGTTCATTTTCAGGTGCATTCATGTTGTTAATAAAAAACAGAACGTATACAAGGAAAGAAATTAACAGGCAGGAAAATAAATATACTGCAAGTCCTCGTTCTAGTTATTTTAAAAAGGGATGTTTAAAAAGATGTTCATGTTGTCAAGGCAATAATGACTTTTTACTGTGGTAAATTACAGGACATTGAAAATAAAGGGAAAGAGAAGAGAAGCTAATGGAACAATTTAGCTGAATAAATTAGAGGAGTAAAGGAGGGGGCAAGGCGAGACAAGGAGAAGGGCAAGCATTTGAATCACGTGTATGCAGATCTGGAAAACGAGATGCAAGATTATATTAAATCAGACAATAATAAACAGTGACACCATCTTGAAACAAATACTTGACCGAATTAAGAAGAAGAAGGTCCCTGGACAAATCACAGACTCAGCCATGGCGCATATTGAGTCTGTGACCGAACGTCTCACTGGAATATAAACGTTCTGCTCAGGTTATTTATATATGTATGCATTGTGTGTTTTGTGTATTGTTTGTCAATGTGTTTTTTGTGTGTTATGTATTGCTCAAACAATTTAAAATAAAGTTTTCAAAAAAAGAAAGAAGAGGATGGCAAGAGGAAGGAAAGCCAGAGTAAAAAGCCCTTGAGAGAGAGCGCCGGTTTTTCCTGTTCACACCGCAGCGGAGCCGGCTCTTTTCCCCGAAAACCGGTTCTTACCACGCACGATTTTTTTCCCGTCGAAGAAAGAATCGCATACGTCACGCTTACGTCGGAGGCGGGGGCACGGGCGGGATCAACCTCCTGAACAGCAACAAAAACCCCACGTTTTTAACAGTTTGCACACAACGATGGAAAACCCCAAATTTAAACAGCAGTGGTCAACTGAAGAGACCAGCTACCTTCTGGGTGGTTTTGGACCCACCGTGAACTCGCTCTCTTTCGAGTCGATTGTGTTGGACGAGACCCCTAATGTGCGGAGCTCATCTGATGCTGGTGAGTTATGCATTACCGATTTGATTTATTTGTGACTTTTTGTTTTACAACATAAACTAAACCATGTAGCTATCGACATACCTGGCAATAATAGCTAAAGCTGGTCTACCTGTAGCCTACTATGAAGCAGGATTTTCGCTTAGCGGGCTAACTTCAGGGAAAACTCGGGGTTTCCGGTCCTACGACGCTGGTTCTCTTTTTAGCAGGCTAGATCTCCATGGTAACTTATGCTGAGCTGCTAACCTGCCACGGAGCAGGGGGGTATAGCCTACTACGAAGCAGGATTTTTGTTTAGCAAGATAACTTCTGGGATTTCCGGTACTACGAAGCTGGTTCACTTTTTAGCGGGCTAGATCTCCATGGTGACTTATCCTGGAACATAGTCTGTGCTCCGAAGCAGGATAGGTTCCAGGATAAGAGATCAACTCAGCGAAAGCACCACACCTGCTGACCAATCAGAGCTCAGTGTGCGGAGGAAATACAGTTTAAACTGCCGTTGCAGGAAAGACGGCCGGCCAAAATCACCGACTGTGTGAACGTGAAAATGAATAGAACATTGTCATAGTATTGTTAACTGACTACAAGGGGAGTTGTCATATACGTTACGGCATGTTTACGCTAGTTACAGTAAGTGGGGGTGGCGCGAGAGTACCACCGGAGGGAGCAATAAAGCGTCCTGTTAAATAACCAACTGTTCCGTTGTCTGTTAATATCCAAGATATTACATGGT